TCACCCCAAACTCTCTGCTGCTTGGAAGAACTGATCCAAAGAGTGATAACTGTGGATTTGACTTTAAAAGTTATCCACTCAAGAGATTAAAGTTCATTCAAACAGAAGTGGACAGATTCTGGAGAAAATGGAGTCAACTAGCTGGACCAAATTTGTTTGTCAGAAGTAAATGGCATTCAAAGAAGCGAAATATTGCTGTCGGTGACATTATTTGGCTTGCAAAATGCTTTGAGAGGTCAGTACAAACTTGGCAGAGTGATTAGTGTAAAAAGTGACGGAAAGGGGACGGTAAGAGATGTGCATGTTCGTACTTATCCAAGTTACCCCGTACCACTTGTGAGAGCTGGAGGACAAACGAGGAAGATGAGGAAGGAACTTCAAATGAAGATACCCTCAACAATACTTCACAGAGACATAAGGCGCATTGTTGTGTTATTGCCAATAGAAGAACAAGAAAACCCTGCTGGGACAAGATCTAGTGAAGAGAAAGAGGTGTGACCTCCTTAGGTTCAAAGACCAGGAGCTCAAGTGGGAGGTGTCAACTTAAAACAGCAAATGGTGTATTGGTGTGAGTGCAATACCATCTCCACCCAACTGGTACGCGCCTCACAGAAATCAAGCGCACCCATCTCTCTCACTCAGGCCTTCAGGAGCCTATAAAGTAACTCAACACACCTGTGTTCTGAGCAATCTCTACAGACAAAGACCGCATCTTCAAGCTCCTGCAGAGACACCACTGGTAGGAAATTAACTTTAAAACATTAAACCTGCATTCAGAGGACCTAGCAGGCTTTACAAAAATGGATGTATGCATTTGGAATTAACTTTATTTTGCTTATTTATTGATAACTTGAAAGTAAAAAACATTGACTGGAAACTTATTAATTCATTGTGTTTTGTTTTGTTTGTTTGTAGGTTTTCAACCTGCTTGGTTGTCTTGTCTTTGAAAGTGAAGTGATTTAAAGAAAAAAAAGAGAAAGGAGAAATAAAAAGATGACACTGAGATGAGTTGGTCCTGAGTCTCTTTGATGGGAGCAAGGCCTTTTCAAGTTTGGGCAGAAGGCAAGGTGGTTTGTAGAGGCCAAAAACTTGACACATTTCATGGGAGCTAGAAGAGAGTTTTTGGAGCTAATGAAGGATATGGACCAAGAACCGCAAAGAGCTATTGGTTGCGAGTTTGTCATGAACATACCATCAGCTAGCCACATGGGAGGCATCTGGGAACGCCAAATTTAAACTGTACGAAGCATACCAACAGCAATGTTAGATAAATTCAATGATCATCATTAACAGCAGACCCTTAAGTGTGGAGTATCTTAATGATACTTAATGGGTCCGGAGCCATTAACTCCCAATCACATATTTAGGATGAAATCTTCAGTTATTCTTCCCCCTCCAGGACAGTTTTGCAGAGAAGATTTGTACTTGAACAAAAGATTGAGAAGAGTACAATTTCTAGCAAATGAGTTTTGGCAAAGATGGAAACGACAGTATTTACTAAATCTCCAACAGCGACAAAAATGGCAGAAAGTTTCACGGAACCTGTACATTAATAACATTATGATCCTACGAGATGCCTTGTGTTTACTGTAGCTGTCAAGGTATTTGCAGTTATGTTTGTAATATCTTGCTGTGTTTTTGGTTATGGTGTTTTAATTACTTAATATTTTGATTTAGAGTTGACGAGGAAGAATTTAACTGTTAAAGACCTCCAAAGTGTCAGGCGGTCATGAGGTAACTTCTGTTAAAGCCAGTGTCACCTGATTGTCTGTAAATGTATCGATATCTAAAAATTTGTCTTCTATTTCTGTGGTTTGCATGGCGTTTTAATAAAGAGCCCATCTAAAGGAGGCCGTGCCAGTGTCGTCACTTTGGAGTTACAACCAGAGAGGAGACCAGTGGCTGCTGGTGGAGAGGAAATGGGATTAATAATAATAATAATAATAATAAATCCAATTTGTACCGCACTTTTCATTAAGAAAAATCTCAAAGTGCTACACAGTGCAAATAAAATCAAAGATAAAAATCAACCATAAAAATCATGTGGTCAATAAAATCAAAGATAAAAATCAACAACATAAAAATCATGTGGAGGCAGAGTAGGCTTGCTTAAATAAAAAAGTCTTCAAGCCTCTTTTAAAATCAATCAGTGGTTGTGGAGCTCTCAGATGATCTGGGAGAGAGTTCCAGAGACGGGGGGCAGCGACAGCGAAGGCCCGATCTCCCATGGACCTTAATCTGGAGCGAGGAAGGTGAAGGAAGTTGCAGTCTTGTGATCGAAGAGATCTGGTGGATGAATGTGGAGTGAGAAGGTCCTTCAGATAATCCGGTGAGGATCCGTTTAAACACTGATGGGTGATGAGCGCGATTTTGTATTGAATTCTGCAGGTGATGGGAAGCCAGTGAAGGTCATGCAGAATAGGTGTAATATGGGCAAATTTGCGGGCCCTCAAGAGAATCCTGGCTGCGCTGTTTTAAATGTATTGGAGCTTCTGAAGATGTTTTTTATGGATTCCAACAAACAGAGAGTTGCAGTAGTCTAACCTGGAGGAGACAAATGCATGAACCAGAGTCTCAGCATCAGAAAAAGAAAGAAACGGACGGATTTTGGAGATATTACGAAGATGAAGGAAACAGATTTTAGACAGATGCTTAATGTGATTTTCAAAAGTAAATTGAGAATCCATTCTAACTCCAAGATTTGTAACTATGGTGGAAAATGGGATGTCTTGTCCAGAAAAGGAAACAGTCGTCATAGTTGAAGATTGAACCTGGTGAGGTGTTCCGATCAGCATGGCCTCAGTTTTGGAGCAGTTCAACTGAAGGAAATTCTGAGTCATCCTCTTCCTGATCTCCTCCAGGCAGGTAGTGAAAGCATTAAGTGAAGATGGTGATGATGATGCTCCAGTTCTAATATAAAGTTGTATATCGTCGGCGTAGCAGTGAAAGGAGATGTTATATCGATTTATGATTTGACCCAAAGGCAGCATGTAAAGGGAAAACAGCAGGGGCCCTAATACTGACCCCTGTGGGACACCACAGGAGACAGAGACAGCCTGGGACTTGGCCTTGCCTAGGCTAACACATTCCAGCCGATTGGAGAGAAAAGATTTAAACCAGTCCAGAACGGTGTCACAGAGACCAACCTCCACATGAAGACGGTGTAGTAGGATGTTATGGTCCACAGTGTCAAAGGCTGCAGTTAGATCAAGGAGAACAAGGAGAGATGTAGACCCAGCATCAGCTGCCATGTAGATGTCATTAGTAACTCTCAGCAAAGCGGTCTCAGTGCTGTGAGCAGAACGAAACCCAGACTGAAATTTCTCGTACAGGGAGTTTTGTTCTAGATGAAGCTGCAGCTGAGCGGCAACAGCTTTTTCCAGCACTTTTGACAGAAAAGGAAGATGTGAAATTGGGCGGTAATTGGAAAGAATATCTGGATCCAGGGTAGATTTCTTTAGAAGAGGTTTAATGATAGCTGTTTTAAGAGGCAATGGAACATGACCAGATTTCAGTGATTTGTTTATTATTTGTGTGATTAACGGACTTATTGCGGCATGATTAGATTTTATGAGTGATGAGGGGCAGGGATCCAGGGCACAAGATGAAGGCTTCATTTTCTTGAGGATGCTCTCCACTTCACTCTTTGCAACTTCATCAAAGCAGCTCATGGACCCATGGTGTACAAGGGTAGATGGCAGCCGAAGATCAGGAAGGCTGTGGAGCTGAGATCTAATAGAATTAACTTTGTTTTTGAAGAATGAGAGAAACAGATTGCATTTTTCAGTCGAATCCTCATCCTCAGTTTGTTGATTGGGATGAAGGAGATGTTTTATTGTCGAGAAAAGCTGTTTGGAATTTCCCGGACAGCTGTTGATAATGTTGGAATAATACTTAGACCGTGCTTCCTTAAGAGAAAAGGCATAAGCTTTCTGATGTTCCTTATATGCCTGCTTGTGTACAGAGAGACCTGATTTTTTTACACGTCTCTCGATAGCACGTCCAACGGCTTTCATGTTCCGCAGCTCATCGGTGTACCAAGGAGCTGAGCGGCAGAATGACACCAGCCTCGACTTCAGTGGAGCATGGAGCTCCAGAAGCTCCTGGAGAGATTGATTGTAGTAATCCACAGAGTCAGTTACAGAAGAATGATTGACAGCAGTCAAGGAATGAAAAGCAGAAGACAAAGCCCCAGGGGAGATATTTTTCAAATCACGGAACTGAATAAGACGTTTAGATTTTGGAGCAGACAAAGATTATGGGGGATACTAGTTGAGAAGGTTGGTCTGATACAGAAACCCCTGCAGGAGGCTGAACACCACAGAGGAGGAGGAGGAGGATGAAGCTTTCGGGGGAACGGAGGAATCAGAGTTTCAGGTCCATCTGGAGGAGGAACATAACTAAACCTGGAGGTCCTCCTGTAGGAACATCTGCAGAGGTTTGATTATTTCACTGAAGAGAAAAAAATGTTTTTATTTTTGGACATTAAAGTTAAAACTTCTACTGCAGCAGCTCTAATGATGAGGATGTTTCTGCTCCTTTCATACTGGTTGAACTGGAACCAGTCCCTCCAGCTGCTGGTCCAGTTGAATAAAGACTCAGATCAGAGGTTCTGGTGGTTGAAACGGTTTATTTGGGTTCAAACATCAAATAAAGATTAAATCAGAGGAGAAGAAGATCTGAGATCATTGATGAAGATGATTATAGGAACAGCAGCTGGTCCACCAGAACCAGAACCCTCACAGAACCACGGGGGGACGGTTCTGGATCAGAGGGTCCAGTTCAGACTGGGATCTAACCGGAAGCAGGTCCAAGCAGCAGCAGAAACACCAGAACCAGAACCACCATCCAGGATCAGTGGGTAGGAACCAGAATAACATGATAGACCGGATCAGAACCACCATCCAGGATCAGTGGGTAGGAACCAGAATCACATGATGGACCGGATCAGAACCACCATCCAGGATCAGTGGGTAGAACCAGAATAACATGATAGACCGGATCAGAACCACCATCCAGGATCAGTGGGTAGGAACCAGAATCACATGATGGACCGGATCAGAACCACCATCCAGGATCAGTGGGTAGAACCAGAATAACATGATAGACCGGATCAGAACCACCATCCAGGATCAGTGGGTAGGAACCAGAATCACATGATGGACCGGATCAGAACCACCATCCAGGATCAGTGGGAAGGAACCAGAATCACATGATGGACCGGATCAGAACCACCATCCAGGATCAGTGGGTAGGAACCAGAATCACATGATAGACCGGATCAGAACCACCATCCAGGATCAGTGGGTAGAACCAGAATAACATGATAGACCGGATCAGAACCACCATCCAGGATCAGTTGGTAGGAACCAGGATCCGTCCTGGAAGAAAGATGACAGACTGGATCAGAACCAAGGATCTGAATCAGCAGTAGAACCACAGATTGTTAACCTGCTGGTTTATCGTAACATCAGCAAACGTTCCTGGTTTTTCCTATTACCAGTGAATGCAGCATCCAGCCCTGGTTAGCTGGAGCTAGCGTTAGCCATGCTAACAGTTTGAAATGATCCTTAGACTTAGACTTCCTTTATTGTCATTGCACAAAAAAACACAAGGTGAATCTTGACAACAAAATATCGATTACTTGGCTACCAGTGTAACAGAGCTAAGACTTCTAATAGTTAAGACAATGTATTTTGTCTTAACTATTAGTATTCCTGCACAATAAATATGTCTTCTATGAGTAAGAGCTAGCTTTATACAGGGTAAGAGTATATATGTATACATATATATTGGGCGTTTCTCAATTCACAAGAACGCGAGTACATACTCGCGTTCTCGTGAAGTCCGTTCTTGGCGAGAACGCAGGAAGATCGGACTTGACGAGAACGCGAGCACGCAAGCACGTATGTGTATTGGAGCAGAAGCGTACTCGTGACGTCATCACATGCAACGTTGTTTAGCATTTCTTTAACAGTCAAAACTATTTATTCCCTACACAAAACATTTTGAAAACAATATTTTTAATTTCTAAAGCTTAAAAAACATTAAAAAAAATTACCGAACCGCAAAAAACTGCCATCAGAACGAGCGGTAGTTCACACATAACTAGACGGAGAGAAGTGCACTACAGACGGGGTAAATTTAGCCCTGGCTGCGGTTACCCTCGGAGGTCTGCTGGTCACTCTGGTCCGCTCAACGTCGGACTTTTTTTTTTATTTCGCACTAACTCTGTAAACAGGCCACACAGGGAGGCTTCAATGTATAATGTTATCGCCTCAAACGATTTCAAAACGTACTTTTGAAGAACAACAGCCGCAGAAAAGGGAATGTTTAACTTACCACTGTGAGCGCTGTCTGGAATCAAGCTGCGGCCGCGGGGCATTCTGGGGAAGCGGTCAGTCTGAAGAACGCACAAGTACGCTCTGATGCATGCTCGATAAAGAGGGCGGGGCCAGAACAACATCCGGGGATTTGATGCGTTCTCGATCTGGCGTTCTCGAGAATTGGAACGGTACTCGGGCTGAGGCTGATGACGTGTCACGAGCACACGAGAACGCTCAAGAACGCATATTGAGAAACGCCCATTGAGTTATTGAAGAAGTAACATCAATAAACAAATATTGCACTGAGTTACTGAATTTTGCCCTGAAGAGTTATTGAAAGAGAAATATTAAATCAAAGACAAAACTAAACTAAAGTAGGTGTATTGTCCATGTCCATGGGGGGTGGTTTAAGTGTGTGTGGGGGGTGGAGGAGTGCTATGTGATGTTCTTCACTCTAAGGAATGATCTAGATAATAAACTCGGGAGGAGCAGCAGGTCTCCATCAGGAGGCTGTTGCTAGGAGACAGGAATCCCACCTAGCATTAGCTCATTAGCTCCCATGCTAGCTCTGTACCATGTTTGGTAAAGTCATGGGAACATCAGGCAGCCCTGATGGTCCATAACAGATGTAGATATTCTAGATCACATGGATCAGAGCTGGAAACTGTCTGTCTGATAATCCTGGATAATCCTGTGTTACTCCTGGATTAAAATGTTTAATCTGGATTCATTCAGTCATTCAAAGATCTTTAAATCTCAGGTGGATCTCAGTGATCAGGCTGGTGGAGCAGCGGTTCACCTGTTATTGATGTTCATCAGGGTTTGATTCCCTGATGGAGGGAAGATGATTTTCCTCTAAAGGAATAAAAATATTATTTCTGTCTAATTCCTCTTTTATCAGACTGAAGCAGCTCAGGATTAAATAGATATTATTAATCTGATCCTGATCATGTTGTTAATCTGCCACTAAAAAACCTGCTGTAAATAATAAAACGGTATCGATAAATTAAAAAACAAAATATGATACTTTTACATTGTTATGGTTGGTAGTTAGAAACCACTTTTCCCCCTGGTTTAGATTTTCCTTTGTGCTTCTAAACAGGATTAGCCTTGTTCTGCTGGAGGTTTCTTCCTGTTCAAAGGGAGTTTTTCCTCTCCACTGTCGCTACAAGCATGCTTAGTGTGAGGGATTGCTGAAGAGTCAATGAGTCGATGCAATCAGCTGGTTTTCCTTAGACAGAAAACTTTGAATCAATCTGACTGGATGATCTGGTGAACTGGAAAGTGACCTGAGATGACATGATGTGAATCGGAGCTATAGAAATAAACTGAATAGAATTGAATATTTTGGTTTATTGCTCTGAATCTACTCTGAAAATGTATCTGTTTTGTGTTTTCTTTGTTTTCCTTCTTCTAAGGCATCATTGGTCCATTTAAAGACCAGAGACGTTGTTAGGAACCAATAATGGATCAGAGTGGACCACAGAGACGACTGATCCTGATCTAAACCAGAGGAAACGGTCTAGAGACTGGATTAAACCAGTTCTAACTGGTTCCTACCTCTGGCCTTCCTCTTGTAGTAGATGAATCCAGCCAGAGACAGAACCAGACCCAGGATCAGTCCTGAAGCTCCGATGGCCAGCTGGTTCCTCTCTGACTCTGGCATGGACGGATCTGAGGACAGCAGGAGACGGTATGAGACAGGAGGAGACCATATGAGACAGGAGGAGACAATAAGAGACTGGAGGAGACAATAAGAGACTGGAGGATACAATATGAGTCAGGAGGAGACCATATGAGACAGGAGGAGACAATATGAGACAGGGGGAGACCATATAAGACAGGAGGAGACAATAACAGACTGGAGGAGACGATATGAGACAGGAGGATACAATATGAGTCAGGAGGAGACCATATGAGACAGGAGGATACAATATGAGTCAGGAGGAGACCATATGAGACAGGAGGAGACAATATGAGACAGGGGGTGACCATATAAGACAGGAGGAGACAATAACAGACTGGAGGAGACGATATGAGACAGGAGGAAACCATATGAGACAGAAGGAGACAGTATGAGACTGGAGGAGACCATATGAGTCAGAAGGAGACAGTATGAGAAAGGAGGAGACAATAACAGACAGGAGGAGACCATATGAGACAGGAGGAGACGATATGAGACAGGAGGAGACAATATGAGACAGGAGGAGACCATATGAGACAGGGGGAGACCATATGAGACAGGAGGAGACCATATGAGAAAGGAGGAGACAATATGAGACGGGGAGACCATATAAGACAGGAGGAGATGATATGAGACAGGAGGAAACCATATGAGACAGAAGGAGACAGTATGAGACTGGAGGAGACCATATGAGTCAGAAGGAGACAGTATGAGAAAGGAGGAGACAATAACAGACAGGAGGAGACCATATGAGACAGGAGGAGACGATATGAGACAGGAGGAGACCATATGAGACAAGAGAAGACAATATGAGAAAGGGGGAGACCATATGAGACAGGAGGAGACCATATGAGACAAGAGGAGACCATATGAGACAGGAGGAGACCATATGAGTCAGAAGGAGACAGTATGAGAAAGGAGGAGACAATAACAGACAGGAGGAGACAATATGAGACAGGAGGAGACCATATGAGACAGGAGGAGACAATATGAGACAGGGGGAGACCATATAAGACAGGAGGAGACAATAACAGACTGGAGGAGACGATATGAGACAGGAGAAAACCATATGAGACAGAAGGAGACAGTATGAGACTGGAGGAGACCATATGAGTCAGAAGGAGACAGTATGAGAAAGGAGGAGACAATAACAGATAGGAGGAGACAATATGAGACAGGAGGAGACCATATGAGACAGGGGGAGACCATATAAGACAGGAAGAGACAATAACAGACTGGAGGAGACGATATGAGACAGGAGGAGACAATATGAGAAAGGAGGAGACCATATGAGACAGGGGGAGACCATATGAGACAGGAGGAAACCATATAAGACAGAAGGAGACAGTATGAGACTGGAGGAGACTATATGAGACAGGAGGAGACCATATGAGACAAGAGGAGACAATATGAGGAAGGGGGAGACCATATGAGACAGGAGGAGACCATATAAGACAGGAGGAGACAATAACAGACTGGAGGAGACGATATGACGGGAGGAAAACATATGAGACAGAAGGAGAAAGTATGAGAAAGGAGGAGACAATAACAGATAGGAGGAGACCATATTAGACAGGAGGAGACCATATAAGACAGGAGTAGACAATAACAGACTGGAGGAGACGATATGAGACAGGAGGAGACAATATGAGACAGGAGGAGACAATATGAGACAGGAGGAGACGATATGAGACAGGGGGAGACCATATGAGACAGGAGGAGACAATAACAGACTGGAGGAGACGATATGAGACAGGAGGAGACAATAACAGATAGGAGGAGACAATATGAGACAGGAGGAGACCATATGAGACAGGAGGAGACAATATGAGACAGGGGGAGACCATATAAGACAGGAGTAGACAATAACAGACTGGAGGAGACGATATGAGACAGGAGGAGACCATATGAGACAGGAGGAGACAATAACAGACTGGAGGAGACGATATGAGACAGGAGGAGACCATATGAGACAAGAGGAGACAATATGAGGAAGGGGGAGACCATATGAGACAGGAGGAGACCATATGAGTCAGAAGGAGACAGTATGAGAAAGGAGGAGACAATAACAGACAGGAGGAGACAATATGAGACAGGAGGAGACCATATGAGACAGGAGGAGACAATTTGAGACAGGAGGAGACCATATGAGACAGGAGGAAACCATATGAGACAGAAGGAGACAGTATGAGACTGGAGGAGACCATATGAGACAGGAGGAGACAATAACAGACTGGAGGAGACGATATGAGACAGGAGGAGACCATATGAGACAGGAGAAGACAATATGAGACAGGGGGAGACCATATAAGACAGGAGGAGACAATAACAGACTGGAGGAGACGATATGAGACAGGAGGAGACAATATGGGACAGGGGGAGACCATATAAGACAGGAGGAGACAATAACAGACTGGAGGAGACGATATGAGACAGGAGGAGACAATATGAGACAGGAGGAGACGATATGAGACAGGGGGAGACCATATGAGACAGGAGGAGACAATAACAGACTGGAGGAGACAATATGAGACAGGAGGAGACAATATGAGACAGGAGGAGACCATATGAGACAGGAGGAGACAATAACAGACTGGAGGAGACGATATGAGACAGGAGGAGACAATATGAGACAGGAGGAGACGATATGAGACAGGGGGAGACCATATGAGACAGGAGGAGACAATAACAGACTGGAGGAGACCATATGTGACAGGAGGAGACAATAACAGATAGGAGGAGACAATATGAGACAGGAGGAGACCATATAAGACAGGAGGAGACAATAACAGACTGGAGGAGACGATATGAGACAGGAGGAGACCATATGAGACAGGAGGAGAAAATATGAGACAGGAGGAGACAATATGAGAAAGGAGGAGACCATATGAGACAGGAGGAGACAATTTGAGACAGGAGGAGACCATATGAGACAGGAGGAAACCATATGAGACAGAAGGAGACAGTATGAGACTGGAGGAGACCATATGAGACAGGAGGAGACAATAACAGACTGGAGGAGACGATATGAGACAGGAGGAGACCATATGAGACAGGAGAAGACAATATGAGACAGGGGGAGACCATATAAGACAGGAGGAGACAATAACAGACTGGAGGAGACGATATGAGACAGGAGGAGACAATATGAGACAGGAGGAGACGATATGAGACAGGGGGAGACCATATGAGACAGGAGGAGACAATAACAGACTGGAGGAGACAATATGAGACAGGAGGAGACAATATGAGACAGGAGGAGACCATATGAGACAGGAGGAGACAATAACAGATAGGAGGAGACCAAATGATACAGGGGGAGACCATATAAGACAGGAGGAGACAATAACAGACTGGAGGAGACGATATGAGACAGGAGGAGACAATATGAGACAGGAGGAGACGATATGAGACAGGGGGAGACCATATGAGACAGGAGGAGACAATAACAGACTGGAGGAGACCATATGTGACAGGAGGAGACAATAACAGATAGGAGGAGACAATATGAGACAGGAGGAGACCATATGAGACAGGAGGAGACAATATGAGACAGGGGGAGACCATATAATACAGGAGGAGACAATAACAGACTGGAGGAGACGATATGAGACAGGAGGAGACCATATGAGACAGGAGGAGACAATAACAGACTGGAGGAGACGATATGAGACAGGAGGAAACCATATGAGACAGAAGGAGACCAAATGAGACAGGAGGAGATGATATGAGGACAGGGGGAGACCATATGAGACAGGAGGAGATGATATGAGGACAGGGGGAGACCATATGAGACAGGAGGAGACCATATGAAAAAGGAGGAGACAACATGAGACAGGAGGAGGCCATAGGAGGACAGGAGGAGGCCATATCAGGCAGGAGGAGACCACATGAGACAGGAGGAGACCACATGAGAAAGGATGACACCATATGAGACAGGAGGAGACCACATGAGAAAGGAGGAGACCATATGAGACAGGAGGAGGCCATATGAGACAGGAGGAGACCATATGAGACAGGAGGTGATGATATGAGGACAGGGGGAGACCATATGAGACAGGAGGAGACCATATGAAAAAGAAGGAGACAACATGAGACAGGAGGAGGCCATATCAGGCAGGAGGACACTACATGAGAGAGGAGGAGGCCATCTGAGAAAGGAGGAGACCATATGAGACAGGAGGAGACCATATGAGAAGGAGGAGACCATATGAGACAGGAGGAGACCGTATGAGACAGGAGGAGACCATATGAGACAGGAGGAGACAATATGAGACAGGGGGAGACCATATAAGACAGGAGGAGACCATATGAGAAGGAGGAGACCGTATGAGACAGGAGGAGACCGTATGAGACAGGAGGAGACCATATGAGAAGGAGGAGACCGTATGAGACAGGAGGAGACCATATGAGACAGGAGGAGGCCATATGAGAAAGGAGGAGACCATATGAGACAGGAGGAGACCACATGAGAAAGGAGGAGACCATATTAGACAGGAGGAGACCAAATGAGACAGGAGGAGACCATATGAGACAGGAGGAGACCACATGAGAAAGGAGGAGACCATATTAGACAGGAGGAGACCAAATGAGACAGGAGGAGATGGTATGAGGACAGGGGGAGACCATATGAGACAGGAGGAGACAATATGAGACAGGGGGAGACCATATGAGACAGGAGGAGATGATATGAGGACGGGGAGACCATATGAGACAGGAGGAGACCATATGAAAAAGGAGGAGACAACATGAGACAGGAGGAGGCCATAGGAGGACAGGAGGAGGCCATATCAGGCAGGAGGAGACCACATGAGACAGGAGGAGACCAAATGAGACAGGAGGAGACCATATTAGACAGGAGGAGACCAAATGAGACAGGATGAGATGATATGAGGACAAGAGGAGTCCATATTAGAAAGGAGGAGACCACATTATAAAGGAGGAGACCATATAAGACAGGAGGAGATGATATGAGGACAGGAGGAGACCA